GTAGTGTTTTCAAATGCTTTTCCACTGGTACAGGTGGGATTTTTATTACTGACTTCAAATCAGGAAAATGATGGCTGAGCATAGCTTTGATCTGTTGAAAGGAAATGGCTACAGAGTTTTAATTGCTGCAGTAACTGTTATTTCACGTAACAAGACAGCTGATTGGTCGGTTCTGACCACCAGGCTCAGTCCTTGTACCAGCTCTGATCTGGAGGTTAGTTGTTTTGAATGATTAGCCATGTTTTTGGTCGGTAACTCATCAACGGTAGTGAATATTAAGTAAACTAAACTGAACTAGTTTAGTTCACTTTAGACCAAAGACTGGGTCGCGACCCTCAGGTGGGTCGCAAGAGGTTTTGTTTTGGGGTGTCGTCTAGCAAAGGTTTGTGAGTTTTAAAATATGGGTCCCAGATAATATAAGCATGTTAGCAGAGGGCTCGTTCGTCGATGTCACCCCCGTGTCAGTAGGCTGATGTAAACCTTGTACGCTTGACGTGGTTTTCTGCTGATGCACCTGTGTGTGCCTCACTGAGTGCCTCTCCATATTGATCACAGTCTGTACCCATTTGCTGTCACATGACATTTGGGAATGGAAGATACGAGGCATGAGTCAAGGATGGACATTAGCGCCATAAGAACACTTACACAGAGGAAATAGGGAACTGAAATGAGCCGGACAGCACCTGTGGCTTTGGGCCGGGCTAATCCATCAGGCTTCGTATGCCAGCAGGTTCACCGGGGGCAAAATGAGTTAGGGGAGGCGAAATGTGGGAATGACTGATTTTCATTATCCAAAAATGTCTGTCTCCTCGTAACGGAAATAAGTCCCACGGCTAAACTGATTAGGCCTGATCTGAAAGAATAATGCTATCGAGGGCAGTTGTACGGATGTGGGTCTCTCTCTCTCTCTCTCTCTCTCTCTGTCTGTCTCTCTCTCCCCCATTGTCTGCCTGTCACACTCACAGACCTACAGGCAGACCTACAGCCTAGGAGCTCATTGCCTAAGGAGACTGGAGGAACAGTGAGTCATGCATCCTGATTTGATAAAAATTGAGCAGCATGAAGGGCCCCGTGCTGCGCCGTTGAAAGAACACATATGGAGGAGAAGTACAAGTTGCTGTTTGTCAGCTGAGGCTGTTGAGACAAGCGTTGTCATCAAATTGTGCAGAGTATTATATCATGTGGGTCTTTTGACTGAAGTAATAGGACAAAAAAGGAAAGATTACTTTAATTATGCAATTAATATGTTGACTGTTTATATCAACCCTCTAACAGTCATTTTTAGAGGATGGAGTTGGAGGTCAGGCACAGCCTCTGTAATTCATTATGGAATTCATTATGACTCCCAGGCGTAATTCAGACTCTTCTGATGTTTTATGTCCAATATTATGATGTTAGCACTGTGTTAGTGTAGCTGAGTGACAGAGGTACTGATGTACAGTATGTGAATTCTGATTTACGGTGGATATAGAGTTACTGTACGTGGCGTGGTGTCTGAGTAATCTAATCCATAATCTTCTTGTCGGACCATGAGAGGAGACAGGGAGGACATGAGACTACAGAAAGACCCTCAGTTACCCAGGTGTTTATGAATTCACTGAATCACTTGAATGCTGTTCTGCTTTATGAAGTAAGGCTGTTTGTTTGACCTTCGCATCGTTTTTTATTTTTTTACGTGTCTGCTGTTCAGTTTTGGAGCATCACAAACACAAAAGGAACACAAAACTGTGACTGTTGTGTCAGACATTTATTTGACAAACAGGGCCATAAAACAGCACCCAAAAATACACCTGATGATGTTTATTATTTTCCAGTTTCAGAACAATATAAAGGACGGGTATGAAAGAAGTGGAGTGGAGTGGTGCAGACTGAGTGATGGAAGGAAATGAAACCTAATCAGATTGTGTCTGAATCAATGTAGAAATCAGTAGAAATAGTGGAACTAAAGGTCTTTAGAATAGATATTACACAGTGTTTTATAGGAATGGTCTCTCTTTTTTTATTAATTGACTTCTATGTTCTATGTTTGGTTGTAAAAACAGAACATGCTGTGGTCGTTTTGCTAACACCGATCCCGGCACTGTGAAATCTAAATCATTACCATTCTCCATTAGCCGTGGTAGCCAGCCAATAATTAGTTGTTACTTAGTCAAAATACAACCGTTGGAGGGCTTCCCTGTCATGGAGATGCTGTTGGATGTGGTTATTAATCAGCATGTAAAAGGCCTGAAGTATCATCAACACACGTGGATCATGGAGACGGATCAGTAGGTGGACAGATAGTGGGAGAGAGGACAGGCAGAGGGGGAGGCCTGGACCCCTAATAACAGAGTGTGGAACTGTTTCTGTCCACAGTCTGAATAATTATTACCTGCTCTTTCATTTAACACGAGAGTTTCCCTTTCACACGGCTAATTACCCAACGGTAAATTTAGGCTAGGTGGTGACAGGCCTGAAAACAGTTACAGTGCTAAAGTTCCCAGCACTAACTCTCAGTACTGTCATTTCAAACCTGTCTTACCAACAAGTTGGTTTAAACTTTAGTACCGATCCACAGGACCTTGTTTTTGTTGCTACTTCTTCTGGCAAAGAGTTTCTATGTGAGTGAAATGATCATTGATCTGTCAGGTTTTTACATTTTTTAAAATTTTGTGACAAATGTAGTTGTGTTTCTTATAATTTTTTAAAAAAAAATAGCTTTTCCGGTCCTCACGTTTTAAATGTTTTAAGTAAATATTGAGTACAATATAATACACATCTTCCATCATGTATCGTTGGCCAACATCAATAATGCACTGCTGTTGTTAAAGACACAGTTGCCGGCGTCTTCTCTGTGCCTTATAGTTCTCTGTGCAGTGACAGAGAACTACATTCAAAAAGGTTTTGTTTGTCAGAGCGCTCCACCTCTGTGATGCCGTGAGACTACAGTCTTCTAACAGTAAGTGCTGCGGTGACCTCAGAGGTGCCATTAAAGTTTCATCTTACCTCATGTGTAAACAGACTCATTAAGCAGACGGTGATCACAGATGAGCAATGCTACAATTAAGATGAAACATTACAGGGGAACCTCACTCCCAGTGTGGGGAAATCATGGTCTCCCCCGGGGAGAATGTACCGCTCGCTGCTTGACGGTGACATCACGAACAATTAAAACCACGGCCTTATTGGAGATACTGTACAGGCAGCTTTTTAAATTAAGTGTTATTTTGTCTGTAACATCTATCATATCCACAGCCACTGATTTGTTGAAGATTTTGATCCAAAACAAGTTTTTTAGCATCAGATAATTTACTGCCAGATCAAATCTGTAATCAGAGGTTAGCACCGTACTTCTCAAATAGTGGGGCGGGGCACAATGAGGTGCCGGGGGGGGGGCTTGAGGGGCTTCCAATTCAATATGGCACTGGACATAAGTGTAACGCTGCTGTAATGCTTGAATGATAGCAAGCCTCCAGTCACTAGGTGGCAGCAACTCATACAGTGTTTTGTACAGATAAAAATATACATGTTATCAGGTTCTCAATAGTATTTCAATTTGTGGGGGTGTGGGTCGGGGAAGGGCGTGAAAACATTTCTGTCTCCAAGGGGGGGCATGACAGAAAATAATTAATAACCACCTTCTATCTTGTCGTGGTGCTGCTCCCTAGTGGTAAAGCCTCCTGCCTTATAGTGAGCTGCACATCCACAGTTGTTGTGTTAGTACCCAGGATCAATAGTCCTGTCAGCAGCTGTTCTATAGCTGTGACAGTTTCCAACACAAAACAGCAACATTTGGATTTGGGATGTTTGGGTTTTTTTTTTTTTTACACCCTACAGCCAAACGAATCAATGATCTGTTCCCTCCTAGAATCAATTTAACTGGGTGAAAACAGCAAGAAGCTCAGATGCTGGTGGGTGCAGCGCCACCCAGAGCAAACCCTGTAGACCACGGTGAACTTTCTAAAGATCAGCTTGTCACAGTGACTCAGGAAACCTCCCTGAGGTGAGCCATGGGTGACAGCTGCTGCCAATGCTCCACTGGCTCAGGTAAATGCCAGGGGCCCCTCTTTCTACACACACACACACACACACGTACACACACTCATGTACACAGCACAAAACAGAACTTTAGACCTACTGTGTGAATTTAGAGCGCTTCATTGATTTTTTTTATTTTTGATTTTTTTGCATTGATCTCTGTCTGTACGTGTGCTCCCGTTGGTGTTGTCTGATTAATGATCTTGCAGTAGAGCGATGTAAATATACTGTATAATGTCCAATTAGTCAAAGAAGGGATGTGTCCTAGGAATATATTACAGTTGTGAAGAGTAAAGATCCGGAATATTGTTTTAGATTGTGGGTCATTTGCTGCACTGCTAAAATACACCACCAGGTGTCTGTAGAGTAATAAGGATGTCACGGGATCCGCAGTTGAATGAAAATTGAAGTTAAAAAAAAATCCTTATAGCAGTTCCACTCATTATACCTTGACAAAAGTACTGTCCAGTCAGCTGACCTCTGACCCACACGTCTTCATCTTTCCTTTTATTTGAACGATCTGTGAACTTGTTGAGATGTCACTGTCAACAAACCTTCATGAGTTGCAGTAAAAAGACTCAGTGTATATTTGTCCCTTTTGACAGGCTGTGTATATATATATATATGAGCCTCTACTGTTTGTTTTTTTTCGTGTGTGTAAATGTCTGTACACTCGTTTCCTGTCAGTACCTGCTGTGACCTTTATGTGTCATAGCACAGCAGCACTACATAATGGAACAACTTTTTTAACCATTAACTAACTAACTAACTAGCTCAGTTACTCACCTTAAGAAAAACATACAAAGTTTTATTTATGTATTTTATGTACATTAGTCTGGATGTTATTTTTTTGAATAAATAAACTCACTTCTGGCCACTCATTTATATAAATGACAATGTAAATGATGACGATGATGATGATGATGATGATGATGATGATGATGATGAAGATGAAACCAACAGGATGTTTTTCTCTTTGACAGTAAAGGGGAGGCGGCAGCCATTGAGACAGAGCTGCTGAGGGACTACAGATTTGGACAGCAGCAGCTGATAGAGATCTGGGGACAAGCCTGCGCTCTGGCCATCACCAAGGTCTGACCGCCTCCTCTGATTTCACTCAGTCTGCCTGTCACTGTTTTATTCGCCCATATCTGTTTTCTCTGCTTCATGGAGCGGAACACCGTTGTGCAGAAGTCATTCATAATTCCCATCCGTCCATAACTGTGTGGTCTTTGGCTGATCCTGTCCTAGAACCTGAGTATAAATCAAAGTTGGCCACTGCTGCAGACACAGTACAGGACCAGGGCGAGGACTTCTGCTTCTGTTAGACGCTGAGAATTCTTCTTTGACTGAACCAATAAATTAGCAATGCTACGCACTGAACGTTGGACACTATTCCCTGTGATGTATGGGAGTTTCTGTCAGCAATTTATTCAGCGACTCTTTCAGCTGTGGCACTTCCTGATTGATTTTTTTAAACATAGGCTGTCGATGATTTGAAGTTGGTTCTTTTCAGTCTGTTGTATTGCAGATTGAACTGCAAGGTTTGAGCGTTACCAGCATAAAACAACATTGAACAATGTTGTTTCTCCAAGGAGAAATACAAACACAGTGAATTATCTTTCTTGAGTTATTTTCCAGATCCGTGAAATGGTTTGGGGTAAAGTATCTCCGTCAGAGGAAACGCTGTAGATCTCCCCTTTTATGACCTTTCATACATGTGTCTAATACACAGCCAGCGTTGCGTGGTTCATTCGAGGCAAATCACGCTGTGGAGTCGATCAACAGAATGCGGTAGATAAAATTAAAGGGTAAAAGTGATATTTTTTTTCTCCCTGTTTGAGGGTTGCTTGATCACCAAACCAAGTTAGCTCCCCGGTGTGGCTGTTTGATTGTTGAAGAGGCTAACAGGTCACAGCTGCTGCCAGTTAGCTCTCCTCTCATTTGCATTGGCTTCCGTATAAAATGTCTGATCATTATGTGGAGGAAAAGGTTGTAATTTTCGATGACATTTACCACCAAACATTTGAGTGGCTCACCTCGGGGCAGAACACCTGAGCTCACTCTGTGCTCAGCACTCCTGCAGCACCGCAGCCCACAGCTGGAGCTCCTCCGCTCTGGTGTGGTTGCAGCTCTGTTCTGCTGGGAACTGGACTGTGCTGAGTGTGTGTGTGTGTGTGTTTGCATGAGGAGGGCTGTGAGGAACAACATGTGGTTCCCTTCGACCAGACCACTGGCTTGGTTTAATGCGACACTGGTTTCCGTAGTGAGCTCTTAAACAGGCTGTGATGGCTAAAAGTCTGAGCTTTAAGACACGTGAAACACTGAGCTGTGTCGGAAAAAGAACTGAAGAGAAAAACAGGACAGGGACGACACCGAGAACCAGAAACTAGAGCGAAGAACCTCAGGTAAACACTGAGAGCAGTTTGATTAAAGGTACAGTTCACAAGTTCATTGTTGCTGCCGTGTCTTAGGGAAGAAAGCACAGATGACCCAGAAAATATAACGTGTTTATAGTGTTTTAGCTAGGGTTGTTGGATATTAACTTTTTGCCGGTATGCCGATGTCCAAACACGATTCCGATATCGGCTGATACTGATATGGGCCTGGTATTGTTTATTTATTTATCTGTACAAAGCACAGTATGAGAATGAGATTAATTAACTGAGCTGAGATGCTGCCATCTCGTGACTATTACTTTAATATACAGCTGTTTATCTCCAAAACTATTTTTAGAGCACACATCATTTGGTGAAACTCAGGCATTAGCATGTTAAATGGGTCACATTTGTTTTTGTTTAAATGTAGTCACTCTAAATCAAGGCAAGTATCTCCGTCCTCTGTGGTCACGTTTCAGACGTTTTTTTAATTTGAATTTGTGAATCTTCAATGATACTCTATTACCAGTGAGATCTAGGTCATATGTTTAAATGCAACAGCGACAACTCACATAAATAATGAAACAGAAACACGAGCAGACGGAGGGTTTAACCAGGCCGAGGCAGAGTGGCAGCACCGATCAGAAACAAAGTCTCTGTGTAAATAAATCCACCACATCCACTTCATTATCATCAAACTCTGAGGCCACCACCACCAGGCGCGACAGCGTAGCCTTACTAGACAAACACGGCCTGTGCGCCGTGGACAGCTGCTGCCCGCAGCCGCCAGAAGCGCGCTACCGCTTACATGACATCAGTGCTATTTAGAGAAAATTACAGTAGAAGGAGATGCAGACAGTCTGATTTCATTGATTTGACTACAGACCCACTGCTGCTGCTGCTGCTTCCAAATATACCACACCAACGAGCGCTCGCTCATTCACACCCCTCTGGTTGCCAGATAGGACTTAGGGGTTTTAACAGTTCCAGCAGCCGCAGCTATTAGCTCCAGACTGTGTTTCTGTCAGTCTGGGGCTTTTCATCACCTGCACGGACACACGGGATGTTTTTGTGACCAAATGATAATAAATGAGTCTACGGTTTACAGGAACTTGTGAACTCAGTCTTTGGTCTTCTTCGCGTCTCTGTTGTTAGCAGCCTGATCATGTTTTCATAGGCTCGCCGTATGTATTGTCTTTTTTCAGAATGTGTGTGTTGATCGAAAGTAAAGGCACACGTGTCTTTGACATTAGTCCTACAGTGATCTCCCTCAGGGACCAGACTTCACTTCAGACAGTGTTTGAGGGTAGATTCTGCTCTTGTTTCCATATATTAGGTCTAACATTTTATAACGTTAATTAAAAACAAACAAACATTCTATTATTCTTTAATTCTGCACAAACCTCCTCAACAGATGAAACAACCCATCTACACCAGTGTCAAAAACCAAACAGGATAAGAAGACGGCCTTCAACTGGGTTTTAGAGCATTGTTTTTTATATAAACAGTTGGATTTCTTGCCATTTGCTGCCAATTTGAACCTTGTTAGATCAGACAACATTTGAGTGTCTCTGGATTGAACATCCACAACACTGGGGTTTATTTCCGTGTGCTCTGGATGGGAATGTTTTTAGGAAATAATGTTATTATTTCAGGCTTATACCAAAACAAACAGAAGTCTGGATGATCGTAACGTGATGTTGCTTTGTACCAGTCCAGAACCCGGGGGTTGAGAACCTCTGTGTTACAGATCAGTTGGTGATGGTTAAATAACTGCTCAGCTGATCAGTATAAACGCAGTCCTTTAGTTTTAGAGTTTCATTTTATGTGTTGTGCCGCGGCAGTGTGTGATTATGTAAAATAATATCATGTCATTAAAAGATCTAGGTCATTTGTACTGCAGGTATCAGCTTCCTTTTACCTGCTAACGTTCTCCCCTCCTCTGGTGTTACCATCAGCTCCAGAGGCCCTGACCGACCGTAACCTGCTGTAATCAGTCTGTGTGAGTCTGACGGTGTGATGATTTCTCCACTGAGCTCTTATGTAACAGATAACGGTCTCTTCCTATGGATTTATCGCCCTTGTTAATGCACATTGATTCTCATTAATTTTAATGAAACCATGCGGAGACTTGCTGACACCACCGTTCCCCTGTCACAGGAACTTCAGTTATTATTGGTTCGTGCTGTGAAAATACAACTCCTATTCTTAGAATACATTAATATAATTCTAATTAAACACACAAATACATACAATGGTAATTACAGAAATTATTTATTGGATTGCTATTTTATTAATTTTTTTGTGTGATGTAGACAACAAAGTGCTTTTGTTCTACAGGGGGTCCTCGACTTAAGTCGTTGTTCCATTTCTAGCGGCGACGTAACTTAGATTTTCGTCGTAAGTCGGCACTTGCATACAACTACATATCGCAATATCAGGGTTTATTTTGTCTCTGCTCTGACGTTACGTTCCCCTCCTCTTCTTCTAATGTATACGTCGGGGGCGTGGTGACGTAACCTTTAAACGCTGTAGGTCGAGGACGTCTTTAACCGCGGACCTCCTGTATTTATATCCTGATTTCCTCAGTTGAGTCTCATTTCTGACAGAAGTCAAACACAGCACAGTAACTGGCTTTTACAGCGTGAGCTCTGACACACATTTATTAGCTCTAATTAGACAGGATTTCCAGGCGTCCATAAATGATCTCCTCTGGGCCGAGCTCTCTTTTCTAGATGAGGAAGTAACGCGGGTGAGTTAGTCGTTTACTGCGGGTTTTTACAATGATAGACAATCATCTTTGCCTAATGTGGTAATGATGTTGAGGTGTTAGCCACTCAGACTTCCAGTCGTTCAGGCGTGTACCTGCCCCACTTAACGCTTTTAACGAGGTTTTATTTTATTTAAGGGAACGCAGGGGCAGTGAATGAGGCTGCCGCCCCTGTATCTGGGGACACGTTGGAAAGTCTGCCATTTAAATGTAATCAGCTGACTGCAGAGGCACCGGTGTTATTTCCACCACTGTCGGTGTCACTTAATGAGAACGGACCTGTTCTGATAGACGGTGGAGACAACAAACATGGTTCCATTTTCACCCACAACTGAGCGTGCACACTGAGCGTGTCTGGTATGCAGCAGGAAGCCGATCTAAATGTGTCAGAGAAGCAGAGAGACAGATCAGATAACCTGCCCTCAACAAAAGCCCCGAGTGTACGGGATAATACCGATGCCTATCAATCTCTTCCTGTTCGTGACACACTATTGTTCTCCCTCAGCGACACTTTCTATTTTCTCATCTGTACATCCTTCTGTCATAGATCCTTCCATCCACAGCTTACCTTCTTGTCTGCCCCTCCCCAGGCCTACCCTCTCAGCTCCTTACCGAAAAAGCAGCCGACGGTCCTGGTGATCTGTGGTCCAGATCAGAACGGATCCATCGGCCTGGTGTGCGCCCGACACCTGCGCATTTTCGTAAGTCGATGAAATGCATATTTGAAATCATCCATCGGTATCAAAATGTGGTTTTTGAATGTCTGTTTTTCTACCATGGGAGTTGAGGGAATTCTCGAGTTTCTTAAGGGCTAACAGGAGGTTCTCTATACAGGCCCTGTGTGCTTCTCAGGAATTCACTGCAGCTCCTGTAAATGGCCAAGACACTTATCCCATTACCTTCTCTGCAAGGGCTCTCAGACAGCCATGATATCACGCTATCGTTACTGCCATTAAAGCTGTCTGCTTCTCCCGCTCGTCGGCCACGATATGATGTCATGACCAAGATGTGTGCCCCGGTGGCTACATACCGACTGTCAAAAACATGACGGCCGGACGTTACGTTTTTCAAGTTAATGTTCCACGTCTCATCCGAGTGGTTTCTTCAGTTCAGTGAAAAAAAACCCTTCCTGTCCAGTCGGCTAACGAAACTTCAACCTCGACTATGGCCGACGGTCTATACAGATATATTGTTCTCGTGACGCCTTGTCGTTAACTCAAAATAAAGTTTGGAAAAACTTGTGGTCCCTTTGGCCACAGAGAAGAAATAATCATTTTAAATAAAGAAAATATCTTGGGTAAAACATTAAAATGTTATATTCCTGCTACTCACTTTCACGTTCTTATGACATTAGACTGCAAACATAATTGACCAACTGGGACCAATGTCTGAGTTTGCTGTAATGTAAGAAATCTGAGTAGTGACTTTGGACCAAGGCTCTGGTGTGAGACTGAATGTTTTTATGGTGCGCTGTGATCCCTGTCAGCAGAGATACACGAATGCATTTGTTAGGCCACAAATATCTGCACACACGTGTACGATGCACTCTATCTGTTCACTGAATCAGTGCTGCATTGTCACCATATTTTCACAGCGAGATGGTGGTACCCCGATGTACTGCGCTGATGAAAACACTGGATGAATTAATAGTAAAAAAAAAACAAAACAAAAAAAATGCATTTGCTCTGTGTTGACAATTGTCTCGCTGTGTGGTGTTATTAAGGAGGAGTTATTAATTCACAGAGAATCACGAGCTTTTTCCAAAACTAAAAGTGGACGTGATGATGCCATGTCTCCGTTTTCTTCAGTCACCGCATGGAAACTTTCCATTTGTGAAGTCTGTCTGGTTTTATTTGGCGTGAATCAAACGAAAACCTCACCTTCACGTCCGCGGTTAGGCACAGTTGGAAACTTCTCTCGTCGACTGTCAAAATGGAAATTGTCAACTTCAAAGACTGTCAAGTCAAGCTTAATATAATTAGCTGTTCCATCTTCCTCGCTGCAGAACTGATCCCTTTGTCCTTTAATGGGCCGAGCGTAAAAAAATTAAAACGTAAACAGTAGCTCACATCAAGGAGCGAATTCGTAACCTCCTTAGACGAGATCATTA